TGAAGGGAGGGGGAATGGCTTTCGCGTTTCTTTTTTTTTGAATCTCGAGATATAGGGTTTAATAAGTGTGTTAGGGGTGTGCAGCTGCATGAGAGGTGCGTTGTTGTGTTTCAGTGCTCACCTCTATGACGGGGCTGACCTTGAACTCTCTGAGCACCCAGTCAGCGAAGAAGTTGTTCACCTGCCAACTGTGCGGCAAGGTACTATGCAGCAAAGCATCCCTGAAACGCCACGTTGCCGACAAACACGCCGAACGACAGGAGGAGTACAGATGCGTCATCTGCGAGCGGGTGTACTGCTCGCGTAATTCCCTGATGACCCATATATATACCTATCATAAGAGCAGGCCCGGCGACATTGACATTAAGTTCTTTTGAAGGTTTAGATAAGGTAGGGACCACCACACATACACATTCGCTATAAACATCTATGGCGCACAGCATTTCTCCAAGATTTTAACGTAATCTCTCAAAACTCTCACCCTTATGCGACTTAACACACATGCGTATTCCTTTCCCCTCTCTCTCTCTCTCTCTTTCTCTTGCTATCTTACTCTTTTATTCTCTTTCTCTCTCTCTCTATATATATATATATTTTCTGTTTTCTCTTCTTCTTACATACATATCCGCAAAATTACGGAAGCGCGCACGCTTATTTTCCTATCGTCAAGACTCCAATTTCATATTCCTCATTTCTTTCTCTCGTATTCGTTTTCGCGCGTCGACCAAAGGTATATATCGTCTTCTCTCTCGTCGCCCCCAACCGAGAGAGCACCGAGAGAGCTTGCTTCCTCCTCCTTCGCGAGAATAGTGCATGCCACGGCGAGAAACCGGTCCCGGGGAGACTTGTGCACGCGGGTACATTTTCTTTCTCTTCCTGTTCGTCTTACGGTCGCCGCTTCTCTCGGCTCGCGTAACCGCTTTCTTTTCCTCTCATCCCGTCGTCCTTCGCGCCCCTTCGGTACCGTACGCGCCCGCCCGATCGTGTTCTTCCGGTATTCGCCGGTCCGTTATACCTGCTGTCAGTGACTCGAGAAACTCCGACGCATCAGTGAAGCAGCACATGCCGCCTACATCGGTGAATTGATAGCGGGAAAAAAGAATGCGCAGGCAAGCGGATACGGGCGGGGAGGGAAGAGGGAGGATGAGATTTTCTAAAAAGTTTAACGAGGGAGAAACGAGTCTAGATATACAAACGTCCGCGTCGTCTCGATTTAAAATTTCAGACATATTTTAAATCTCTTTTCGATATGTTTTTTTTTTTTTTACTAACATTATTTATTTGACAAACGTCTCTTAGGGCTTCAACTGTGACGTTACATATAATAAAAGTTAAAATATCTGTATGTCGCTCATATTATGTACTTTCATGTAAATATATAACATATATAATGTTATTATTGTATTATTAATGTCATCGTGATACGATCGCAACTTTCAGTCTACAACACGTGACGTCATATGATTAAAGATAAAGGAGAGAGAGCATCGATGGTTTTATTTCTCTTTTATTTCTATATACGCGGAATTAATTTTATTATACATTTACAGCGTGCATAGATTGTGCAAAAATATTATTCCGCTGACATTCTCAGAATCGCTAAACAACATTGAAAATCATTATACCTACTTAATATTTTTGCAGATTATCGATATTTTTGTTAAACAAACCAAAATCTTGGAGCGACATATCGGCTAGCTTTATTTTCTGATGCGGAGAGTCATGAGAAAATAGGTATATAAGACGGTGAAATTAAATGTCAAATTTTTTTTTGGCAATTAACAATAAAAGCGACGGCAAAATCTCGCTTGCGATAGAAAACTACAATTAAGAGAATTTCCCCAATTGTTCTACGTCTTATTCTCTTTCGTTTATGTGACATTTGCCACACCTCGTATGTCTTTCTTCGTTTCTTTTCTTTCAGTTAAACCACCGATCTAGCTATTTGTTGCTTGCTTGTTTGCATGTCCACCTAATTATTGTCCGCCTGATGCCTGCTTGTTTGTAGCTTTGACTACGTGTCTGATTTCATTCGCATTTTTCTTGATTATTTTTCTACCGACACCATTTTCACGCGTCAAATCCGAAGAAAATCGATTGATAATTGGATGATTTGAAATTTTAATCATCGATAATGCGATTCAATGTAATCGCGTCGATTGGCAGAAATTATTTCGCGGGAATGTCAAAAGCAGCGATAATCCTTATTTATCAAAGAATTTTTACAAAGTGAACGTCGTGTGCGAAAGCTAAAATATAATTTTTTTCGATTAACACTAATTATTTTCATCTTTTTCTTAATATATTGTTTTTATGTTCATTGTATTGATTTTCTACTTTTTTTCTTTTGGTTATTAATATTTTGGTTACTTTTTTTTCTGTTATAATTTTTTATTTATTCGGCAAAACCGATACTTTCTACATGAATGTCGAGCAATCAGGATAATCACAAGGTTTTTATGCGAAAGATTCATATTATTTATGCGATCGCGAAATATAGAATGCTCGCGTTTTTTAATCTTGAGCCAGTTAACTTTTTTCGTAAATTTCTAATCTCTTTGATTAATCTCATACAACTAACGACAAAAATAGCGTATGTTTAATTTTTCAAGCTAAACATAATTTAATTTGGTACGCAAACTCATTATTCCAACTGTCGTAATTTCTATCGACGGATTGATTTCGATACGCTAACGCCGTACTAATCGCTCCTCTAGCTCGATATACGCGCGGTTATGTGATACACAAAGACCCCTCCCTCTTCTCTTCGTCCCTTCTCTCATTTTCTCTTCCTCGGTCGAGATTTTCTGGCGTTTGATATATCATTCCGAATACTCGATAAAACTCACAAGAGCAGAATAGTAATGACAATTACACGTCTCTCAATGCTATCTAACAAACTTATCTATCTAATTTGGCTATACGAAACTTTGCGGCAATTTGCACACAATTCTGTATCACATTCTGGATTTATTTTCAAATGCAATTAAATTTTGATAAGTCGATATAGCCAGAGTTGGTAATTCCGTATATATGGATTATTGATTTACGTGAAAAATTAATATATATATGATTAATTTATGTAAAACAATGTACATTGTGTTCTATACATTAATTATATTATGCATATTTATATAGAATCAATTGACAAATAAGTTTTGACAGACAGTTTAAAAATCAAAATAAATTTTTAAAGAATAAATAATAAAATAAATTTTTAAAGAATAATTTTTAAATTTTCAGTGCTGTTTCCAATTTAATTTTAGAGAAATGAGCTACTTTATATTTAGTAGATAAATGATAGACATTTTCAAGACGAGAGCAGCTAAATGGAAGTACCAACTCTGAGCTTTTAACGACCGATACATCTTATCGATGTGTCACTTGATCATGACGGTCAATCGTATCGCATTCTTACAACAGCTTCGCTTAAATTGAGGCGGACTATAAGAATTGAAACCATTAGATTTTTAATCTTTCATGTTTTACATGTGCGGCAAACTATATCTTGCATCAAAGTCGATTCGTAATATCAAATATTATATAATCGAATCTTCATATTCTTAACTCTTCGAGATCAAATAACCTATCTATTCTTAACTAATATTTCACTTACTTTAACGGCACATGCGCAAAATGTAGTCGCGCTATCAATTTATTGTGAGAAAAAGCGTGTCCATAACTTCTCATGTATGTATTGTATAAACACATCTGTCATACTATATACATATTCTATCTATCGAATCTGTATCGATTATTCTACATACTCGTAAAAAGAAACCATGAAATTTAAAGAATTAAAATTATAAAAAGTAAAAGATAATAAATCTGTTTTATGGGGCTGCATATGTTATACTTTTTTGCAGTCACAATAAAACAATTATATAAATAAGTGTTAGGGAGAAGAAGAAAGAAAAAATTCTTATCATGCATTCGCGTCCGGTATTGTTAAGCGATGAGTTATGGATACGCATGATATCTTCTGTCCTTTGTTCGCTTTCCTACTCTAACGAGGAAGGAAAGCGTTAAAAGTACGAAGATTCGATCGTGTATACGTAGCGGTCTGAATGAATATTAACCTTCGTGGCGACTGATAATCGTCCCGAGAGCGATCTTATACGGATCTGGATACGTTTCAGGTACGGGCAACGGGATGCATCCGGCACCGACGACGCCTCCCACTGTCATGTACCGAATGCCGCCACCCACGCCGGGTGGCATAAACGAGCCTCAGGAATGCCCGTACTGCCGTCGTACGTTTTCATGCTACTACTCCCTCAAACGTCACTTCCAGGACAAACACGAGCAATCGGACACGCTCTACGTCTGCGAGTTCTGCAACCGTACGTATCGTACCAAGAACTCATTGACGACGCACAAGAGTCTGCAGCACCGCGGCACCAACGGCGTGCTCAAGCGGCTCCTCAAGGCCTCGGCGATCAAGAATGTTCTCGGTAGCATGCATCATCAGATGCAGATGCAGCAGCAACCGCAATGAAAACGCCGGAAAAGTCAAAGCCTCCCCGTGCCGCATCGTCTGCCTAATCGTCGCCGACGTCGTCGTCGTCATCATCGTCATCATCGTCATCGTCATCGTCATCATCGCGCTGCTATCGTCGTCGTTTCGCAATTTGTTTTGCTCAACAGCAATTTGTCAGCGCGCATAAGAACCAAGATAAAATTATCGAAAACGCGGAAATGCTACCTTGCATTCAGAGACGCTTGAGTCCAGCCCAAAGCGCCTAGATTGAATAATGGTTGATCGAATTCTCTTCTCTTATCTAAATTATCGATCTGCGATGTAGAAGAGAATAGGATTGTTAACCAGACTTAATTTATCTTAAGAATTTAACAATTTACATCCTTTGCTGTTCATTCGCGAAAATTGGTTAACGAAAAGTTGAATCGTAGATCAAATCTAATTTCTCTATCTACATTACTGATTCGTAATCGAGATAAAGGCAGTTAATTAATCACAGTTAATTAATTATTGAAGCGAGTCAATAATAACTCGAATTAACAAAATCTTCTTTCTCCATCGGTTATATTTAGGTCCGTAACTTAAAAAGATAGCAAATCGCTAAATATAAATTGAATTAACGGATTGGTTAATTTATTAATTTGCAGTGAAATCCTAATAATCTTATTGCATTTGCAGAACATGTAATGCATATCGTGATCAATTATCGTGAGATGTTAAATGGAAAACGGATGAGAAAGAACAAAGAGGGGAAAGCAAAAAAAATTCCAAAGTTGAAGTTTGAGTCGCGGACGAATCAGTCTGATTCGAATTTTGGTATATTTTTCTTAGTTTTCTATCGTCCATCGAGACATATACACAACACGGTTCTGCTAGTTTAGATTTGTCGATTAGCGTTGTAATTTTTCTTCGTCAAGACTGCAATGAATCCAAAGAAGGACAATTTGACTGAGAAATTTGTAATTCGACTGAAACGAAGGAACGAGACGAGGCTTGAACGTTAAAGTTAGTGCGCGAAATAAAAGAAAAAGAACACATTCCATTATCAGCGATTGTATCGCTGCACGCTTGTGATTCGAGTTGACTAAAATATCGACTCTCCGGTAAGAATTTTGCGCGGGAAATTTACGCATTTTCGAGCACGTTATCCCGCCGCGTGTTTTTAATTAGCGTTGTCCAAAAGTGCACATCGCAAAAACAAAAAAAAAAAAAACGTGTAGAAAGATTAAGGAAGCCTATTTAGGATAGGATGTTTGTGAAGAGGGAACAGTCTTCCGGGAATCGTTTCCGTGATTGAATTCACGTTACGAATGGAATTTTTTTTTTTATATCGGGACACGCCTAAAACGATTTTCACGTAGACAACGCGCTTAAATCGCTTAATGCGTCGATAATGAATATCAATGTGTTTTCGTGATCTGCCTCGTGCGTGTTGCAAGTTCAAAAAGTATACATTACGCGTTCGCGAAGGCGGGATAATAAATCGCGGAAGAGATCGTCCTTTTTGTCGAGCGTGAAACGGACAATTTTAACGCGTCGAATCTGGAACGCGTTTAAACGCGTTCGTGATTAATTGGCGGACAAATGCAAGCCGGGAGGAGACAATCGATCATAAACGAGACCGCGAAAAGAGAGAGAATAAAAAGCGGATCCGACCTTGGGCCTAAAGGCGAAACGACGGACGAAGCGAGGATGCACCGATGCGTCCGAACGCGCCAAAGTTACGCTGATCGATGAAAAGCGATCGCGACACAATGACGGTAATCGAGGTCGTGACACGTTGCGATCGATCGACGGTTAACAAAGGAAGGGAGGACGATAACGGTTTTACGAAACGAGAGACAAGAGAAAGGTAAAGAAGCGTGTACAGACGCGGAGGTGTGGTAGAGCTATATCATGGGTTCTTAACTTGTATATGTAGGTTTGTCGTATGCGCTAAATACAAACTATATTTTTAACTCTTTAAAAGTAATATTTTGAATTGTAAATATATTATATTCATACGCGATACATCGATAACGATGATATTCTCCTGTTCAAATTTTATAAAAATCGGCATAGCCCTACCATATAGGTATCTCGTGGACGAGCGGAGCAGTGGTGCGGAGCAGTGGTGCGGAGCTTACGGTTCATTTTCCAATCATCTTTTGCCATTTTTAGAGAACATTCTTAAACCTGTTTCTCTCAACGTGCACGTTTTTATGATCGTTGATCGAGCCAAGAAAAATTATTTTCCATTCCGCGTCTATTTGTCATTACGAAAGAGGTGCGTTTCGCAAATCGAACTTTAAACGATTGGCATAGCCTCAGTCAGTGCGCGAACCATTATATAGAACACTGCTCTGCTCTTCAAATTTTTAATATATCCATATTAACAAATGTACAAGCAAGAAGAAACCCTAAAAGTTGTTCATCGTAACATATTCAGGTTTAAAACTCAGCGTAGAGAACGAGAAAAAAAAATGTTGATGTTTTATCTGTAAGGCTAAAAAGGAAATGCCATAATAATTAACGAGCAAGTACAAATTATCGTGGAAAATATAAATTATGTCTACGTCTAATTCTTAGGATGCGTAGTATCGGAAAGGGAAATATTTAACGGAGGGAAGCGCGGGGGATAAAAGGAAAAAGAGAAACGTACGGGAAAGGACACCAGCTTGCCTCGAATTTCATTCGCGGCCGGGTAGAAAGATTAAAAGAGAGAAAGAAAAAAGAGAGATGCGCGAGGAGAAGGAAGAAGGGTAAGCATGATTTTCCAAACATATCTTCAAAGTGTGAAGTATACTGTGAAAAAAAATATACGATTTTAGATATTTAGCTCTATCTCTATATCGAGAGATTTTATAATAATTATTACGTATACATTCTTAAATCGGTAGACCGATTCTCGATGACGTTTGGTCAGGGCATAATGTGGAGAGCACGATATGGATTGATGAAGTGCGGCCGCGAGATATTTTGCGTTTTTGTCTTTCTTATTATATTACTTTTTTTTTGTTGTTTAAAAAGTCACTTTCGAGTTACTAAGAAATGCGCGATTGGTTGGTGAAGGAAAAAAATTTATCCTAGTCATTCCGGAAATTTTTGTGATTCTGTGATATCGAGGATCGTGGCATTAAACGATTCGATGTGAAAAAAAGTCGAAAAAAGAGAGAGATAGACCAAAAAAAGTATATGTCTGTTCCACATTATGATCGCCGGGCGTATTCTTTAAAAAAAACTCTTTTAGCGACGAAAAAAAGAAAGAAAATTAATTATTGATTATTATTAAATATAAAATGTCGGGAAATTTCTGTGATGTTCTTCGGTTGGTATACTAGCGCGACTGCTAAAGCTATGTGAACGGAAAAAAAAAGTATACGGAATTTTATGTCGATGTTCGGTGTTGTATGATATATTGTAAGAGGCGAGACTGTGTGTCGGGAAAAAAATTTCATCATACTACTTCGAAATTCTCGAGATGGGGTGGGGGTAGGGATGGGATGGTGGGCAATCGCTGATCGATCTGTCGGTTTAAAAAAGAAATGTGTAATTTGTTTCAGAGCAAAAAATAATTTTTTAAAAAAATCTTGCCACGGTGTTTCCATAATTAATAGAAAAAATATAGAGAATGATTATAAAGTTCGATAGTTCAAACTATTCCTATTCCACGGTACGTTAAAAATTTCAGAGACATATACACGCGAATAGAGAAATATATATTTTTCTCTCTCCGTTAATACGCGCACGATAAATGCATCCAGAACGATCAACCGTTGCCATTCATCGCTGATAGACCATCTAGTGTAAACGTCTAGTAAAGTCCGCACACGCGTGTTGTGGGTGGATAGGTATGCGCGCACGAGTGCGTACGAGGGCGTGTTCGCGTGCTTACTTGCATTACACACGTCCCCGCATGCACACGCAAGCACGTAACTATTGCAGGGTAATGACCCATCGCATGCCGAAGCGGAAAAAACCGCGTGAAAAAAAAAAAAAAAAAAAAAACGAGAGAAACAAAATAATTATAGATTATTTATCGGAATGTGCCAAGGTCCCGAACCGTTTACACGGACGAAATTTTAGGTAGGTAGGACGCGCCCCCCGTCTCTCCCGCGTGTCGAGTGGAGAAATATTATCAATATTAATAAGGCTAATCGTTTTAGGATATAAAGGAGGTACGATTTAAAGAAAAAGAAAAAAAATATTATACGGAAAAAATTTTTTCGGATCTTTAATGTATTAATGAATTATTCTTCGTCCCGTATGGTTTTTAGAAAAGAACCCGACGAGAAGATGATATACGCGGCGAAAATATAAATATTTTCGATTCTATCTAAACGTTATCTTTCGCTCGCATCCTGTGTATAACGTGCATATGTATATATTACGAGATGTATAAGGAACCGCGCGTATTCTCCCGACGATAAAACGAGAAAACTGTAAATTACACCGACGTGTAACTCACAGCAGGATTTATTATTGCGGCGGTAGGGTGCGATGCGTGTGTTGCTTCGAGGATCGTAGCGTCTCTCTCTGCGGTTTTCACGCAGTTACTGTTTACTTAAAAAAATCACTCGGTTTTTCGCCTGTCGACCGGCGACAAAATGGTGCAATCTCATCGTCAACAGACTAAACATATATCGTAACCGTTAAAAGCAGGAACGCTCCTTCTTCAGGAGCGTTTTCCGTGCTGTTCCAGCAGCTTCCTTTTGACCCGTTAAAAGAGCCACCTCTAAGTTAGTCACCCATTCTTCGACGCGAACGGGTTCTTCTAATATAAATTTAATCGATATATATTATAACTCGAAGAGGTCAAGTTTAATTCCTGGCGCTGTGACGAATACGCGAATTTATACTTTTGAGAAGGCTGATTTTTTTTGTAACGTTTAATATTGTCGATTTATTTAAAGACTCAAATTTATTTCTACTAGTGTTTCCTCCTCGTTTTTCTTTATATATATATATATATACATATATATATTTCTATTTTTTAGAGGAACCGACTGATTAGATTTTTCTTTTTTTTTAATTGGTTAAAAAGTTTTCTTTCATTGTGTGTGATATTATATTACCAAAGAGCATCGAGAAAACTTTGTAATACTTGCTCCGACGCGAATGATATTCACCTTGGAAAGTATCGCGAATACCGCTTCTTATGACACGTCTCGATAATTTTCCATCGAAAATCGAGCGACGTATTATTTTTACTTCATTCTTTTTGTCTATTCTATTTTTAATAAAATTCAATATTTTGACTAAAAATATTAACTGACAAAATCGATACTAAGTAATACTATTTAACAATGGCGGTGCGTAGCTCTAACATGGGGAATATCACGAGTGTCCGGCAAAGTTATAAATCGATTGTTTTCAATAGGGGAACACTTTTCAATTTTGACGAAAAGAGAAAAGAAATTTTATTTCCAAAAGGGGGATCAAAATGGAACTATAAATGGAAAACAGAGAGAAGTAAAAAAAAATACACATGCTAATCAATAAAACAAAATAACAGTGTAATTATATGAAATTGAAGACAAAAAGAGAAAAGAACATCGTGCATAGGAGAAAGACTACTTAGATTTATTTTTATTATGTCTTAAAAAAAGACTTTAAATAAAATATTTAAATTGTGCCATAATTAATATTAAAAAAAAAAAATCTTAAGTATAAATTTATTGTTACGAAGATTTTTAAATTTATCGGAAGAAAGAAAAATCACAAAAAAAAAGAGACGAAAAGAAATGATGAAATGATAAGAAAAAGAAAATATCATTACTGTCTATGGGTAACTAATGCATAGTACGATAATACTTAGAGAACAAAACGTCGTGTCAGTTTAATGACGATTATTGTATCGACAAGAGAAACTATAGGATTAAACGGTTGGTTATTTACGCTCAATATAACTAAGAATTTATGTATAGTACGGATCTTTTCTACTTGTACCAAAAATTTTATTGCTAACTGTCGACTTCGTTTTTTTTTTCTTCTTTTTTTTTTATGTACATAGGGCATTACCTCATATCGTTCTTATCAAATATGCAATGCGAGATTATGATTAAGATGTTAATTAAATTCATTTGAATTTAAATGTCCGACTACGAAGACGATTAGTTCACTAGACGGAGATATTTGGAGAAAAATCTAAGTAGATTATGTTTACGGTGATAAAGTTGATTACACGTACGATTATAACACATTTTGTCGCATGTGACAAGATTATTACATTATATCGCGCGCGCCGACGTGCATTATCGTCGGCGTAATGCGTAATTCGCGCGATGCGGCATCAAGCTTCGACGAATATCTGGCTAATGCAACTTATCGTCTACAGTCAATTTAACATCCAATCCAATTATTCGGGCCAATGAGAACTTAGCGGGACTTCAAACGTCGCACGTCATCTATTGTTCACATGACTGAAACGACACTGGATAATTTAATGTACCCTTGAATGTACATACGTGGTAACTGAAGTGTATATGTGTATGTATATGTATGTACGTATACGTATACGTATACGATATATCTGTGTATATATTAGATTAAGGAGGCACGCCGAGCGTGCGTGTCGCGAATAATCGAATCGCACGAGCGTAAACGAATGAGGTATGCGCTATTTTCTTAATGTATCATACAACGTAATAGGCACGCAGAAGGGATTTGTAACGGCTGCGGATTCATTTTGCTATCGAAAGTGTTCCGAGGAAACGTCCCGAGAAACCTTCTCTTTTTCGAGAGAAGACAGACAAAGATCGAGCTGGGAATCGATGTTCTCGCGAACGATAAGCGATAAGCTAATAAGATTTCGCGCATCCGCAATAGTTACGCTCCTTTTCTCGCTTCACGCATATTGTACGTCCGTTATTTCTGATACTATTATGGATATTCATTGTACGTATATTAAACATATCTTCCGCGAGAGAGTCTACCCACATAGGAGGAGATACTTGTGTATTCTAACATCGCCGGAGAGTTTTATATATTATGCTTTTTATGTATCATATTATGATTATCTCATTATCACCGTCATCGTCATCGTTGCCGCCGCCATAATATTCACCAGCGTCACTCTCATTGATAATAGCATCATCACACATCATCCTTCTCATCAGTATGATTATACTACTGCTGTTATATTGTTATTAGTACTGCTATATTACTATTATTTTCAATATCGTCAATAATTTTTTTGTTATATCACACAATACGTTTATTATAAGATTATAGTTTGTTCATAAAATGTGTACAATATTGACAACTGGTCGATGGTACTGGTTATGTTGCACTATGCACGCATAAATATTGTATAGACACCTTTGTTAGAGCATCTATCTTTTCAGATCCTTATTTTTATTTCGTATTCTATTACGACGTTTTATAAAACCGATTGTTTAAATGTGTTAGGGGATCTTATATTGAATGCTTATTATTATTTTTATTATTATTACACACGCAGTTATTAATTATTATTATTATTATATTATAATATTATTATTATTGCCGCTATTATAGTAATTACAATTATTATGACTATATTGCTGTTATTATGAGTACCCTATATTGCTATTATTATCGCCATTCACCACTGCAATCTTTTACAATTAATTCCGCTATCGCTAAATAATCGATATTGCTATTATAAAAAGTAATATTTATTCGGAAATTCGTTGTGACGTATGTATTTTTGTCCGCAAGTCTGAGATGAGAGAGGGGAGAGATACATAGTCACGACATGTATAGAGACTGCGAATCGCGAAAAACCGTTCGCTCGCGTCGCGAAATGTTTTGCCGATGCGTGCGCGACACTAGGTATCCATCCCTTTTTATCACATTGCTACATTGTAAGCTTAATTTTAGTTGCATCATCGTCACAGAGATCATAAGCTGTCGAAGTGTAGAACGGGTCGTAGAACGCAAAAGGATCCACGTGTTGCAAGAGCAGATCATAGCATGCTTTTTCGGTCTATCTTTTTTTTTTTTTTTCTCGAGAAATCCTTATATACATCCCTACATCCGGAGGAAGAGCATCAACGGAAATATTGAGATTATCGCGAAGGAAGTAGTTCTCGCGTGGACTCTGCTTCTTACATTCCCTTTCGAATTCATATTTCTTTTCTATGCTCGATCCTTGACGTAGTGCACGAGTCCGAGATCAACTGAGTGAACGATTAAATTGTTTTATGGTTTCACGAGATTAAATTAATTATGAAAATGTGAAAAAATATCGCAGAATTTAATGAAAAGTTTGAACGATCTTTTTTACTACGAGTAAAAGTGATTAAAAATATTTTTGGTAAAAATTATTTATTTTCTTAATTTCTGATATGATCTCTAATCGATTGAAAGACCAATTACAATTTTTTATAACTTGCCAGCAATTTGATATAGCAGCTTGATATATATAGCGTAAACTTAATATTTAATTAATAAATATTCGATATATTTATTAATTAAATATTTACTTAAATAAATTATATAATTTAATTAAATAAATTATATAAATTAAATAAAATATTTAATTAAATAAATTATATTTACCGCGCGTCGAACGATTATAGATATATTACGTGTGTGCCTATAATTTTATTATTTCTACAAATGATATTTTTTTCAAAGCTATCTCGGGATGCATTATATCAAGGTTCGAGTGCACCTATGCTTTCTACATCCCGTCGTCGTATCAATGTCGATTGACTCGCTCAAGTCGATCAATTTAACCGTAATAGAAAACGATGTTTATATCGATACGAATCCGTATTAAGTTTTTATGCAACGGATTACGCTTCTCGACAAGAATTCTCGCACAATTTCGCGACGTTGTGGAATCTTCGGTGGACAATCACGGCCCGACTATAATTATAATGTAAACAAAGTGCAACACGCTGCCTTGCTGAACAGTACAAGTACAAAACGAATACAAATACATAAAGAAAGAAAAAAAAAGTACGCGTCTTCGATTTAATGAACGGGAACGATTACCGGTAGTTAAGGGATATCAAAAC